ATACATTCAAAGACTACACACACACCTCGTATGGCAGTCAAACGAGGTGGTGTAAGCAAGGCAAATGCAAACCGACAGCTTTACAAACAGTTTGTGCGAGGTTGTTGGGACCAAACCCTCCTCCTCACCCTTCAGCAAAGATTAAAAAGTGAACCTGCTCCAGACTTTTCAGAGCTCCTCCTTGAACTCAGAACAGAAGAAGAGAGACGTTCATTAAAAGCAGACAGGATGCAGCGTCACTTTGGAGGTTTTAAAACAAAACCCCTCATACAGTTTCAAGGAATCCCTGAGCCTGCTCCGACCACAACCATTGTTACAGATATAATGCAGAGATATATAACAGAAACAGAAAACTTGAGAAAACAAGTGAAAGATCTACAGTGCAGTTAACAGAGAAAAGAACTCAAAGACGGAAAAAACAGGAACAAAAGCCAGCTGTTTCTGTAAGTGCGCCATCTCCGACTGTAGCTGAGCTCCAAGCACACCAGCAAATGCCAAAATTCAAGATTCAAGATTAATTTATTATGTCACGTAGGAAATTTGTCTTGGACTCACAGGCTGCTACATCGAAAATACACATAAGACAGACATAAAACACAACACAGTAACACCGACATAAACCATCACCGCTCTGCTTGATGGCCTGCATTCAGGAGGTTGACAGAAATGGGTAGGAATGGGTTCTTATACAGGTTTAGATATTGTTTCTTATTTCTAGTGGGTACTCTGTAGCGGCGGCCTGATGGGAGGAGCTTATATTGAGAGTGGAGGACATGGGAGGGGTCTGAGGTGATTTTCCTGGCCTGTCTTATTACAGTCTCCTCAAATATCTGCTGCAAAGATGGATGCTCCCTAACTCCCATGACTTTAAAGGCTGTGCGCACTAATCTGTAAAGTTCTGCTTTTGTTTTAACAGTCAAATTCCCAAACCACACACACATACCATATCTTATTACACTCTCAATTACAGCATGATAAAATAGCGTCATTATTTTCTGTTCAACTCCAAAACGTCTCAATCTCCGCAGGAAATAGAGTCTTTGTTGAACCCTGCTGCAGACAGAGTTCACGTGTACATCCCAGACCAGACTTGTATCGATGTGGACTCCCAGGTATTTATATGAGTGTACCTGTGTTACCGCTGAGCCATGGATGGAGAGCGGAGAGTGATTTCCAAGATGTCCGGGGTCAAAGATGATTTCTTCTGTCTTCTTTACGTTGATGATGAGATGGTGGTCCTCGCACCAGTCTGTGTCGTTGTCCATGAGTCCTAATAAAACAGTGCCATCTGAAAACTTGATGATTAAAGTGCTGGAATGGCCGCTGGTGCAGTCGTTTGTGTACAGTGTGAAGAGGAGCGGTGAGCTGACACAGCCCTGGGGCGCTCCTGTGTTGATGGTCTTCATGTCAGACAGTGTATGGTTCACTCTAACCTGCTGGCTCCTGTTGGAAAGGAATGAGTGATACCATCGGATTATGTATGGGTTGACGGACATTTGTTGAAGTTTTTTGAGAAGGATGTGTGGTTGCAGAGTGTTAAACGCTGAGCTGAAGTCGATAAACAGCAGCCTGGCATATGCTTTAGGGTGTTCCAGGTGTTGGAGAACATTATGCACTGCTGTTATCACTGCGTCGTCAGTGCCTCGATTGTTTTTATAAGCAAATTGGTAGGGGTCCAACCAATGGTGTAGGTTTGGTTCGAATCTTGGTGGGGACATTCACTACGACTTCGATATCTGCCTGCACTACATCTTCCCTGAATACCTGAGTTCCCTATAATAAATAAAACACATGTAGTACATTAAACAAATCAGATCTAAGCATATACAAAATAAAACCACCAACAAAACCAAATAAATACTTTCAACCTCACCTGAAGCCCTGAAGGTCCAGCCACTTCCTCATCCTCTACCAGCACTGCACATTCCCTGTTTGTCTGACTTTCCTTTATGGTATTAATAAAAACACACATTCTACATTGAATAAAATGAAACCTAGGCATGGTACACCAGTCGCTAAATATCTCATGAAACTAGAATTGGTTGATGGGTCTAAGATTATAACTGCTTAATCCTAACCTCACCTGGAGTCCTGTCTTGTCCTTGTCTTTATCTCCTTCTTGAATTTCCATTATATCTCTAAGAGTGTCCTATATTTAGTAAAAGATTTCAGACAACACTTTTTGCATCATTATAGTAGTAAAATATGTTGTAATTGGCATAGGTAATTTCCAACCAAATGATGTTCTTTAACTTTAGTATGATTCTATACTGACTTAAACCTAATCCAAATCTACATAATAGCCCTCACCTGAGGCTCCAACAGTTCAGGAACTGCTCTCGATACTTGAAATAAATCATGCTCTGATCTTTCAATTTCCTATAATAAATAAAAACAGAGGAGAAAATATTGAATTAGAATCTACAGTGAGTATCTCACTACATTGTTTGACATATACGATCAATCTCTAAAAACAATTCATAGTCCCATGCATACCTACAAAATTCCAACCTCACCTGATGCACTGAAGGGCCTGTTGCTTCTACCTCAACATTCCCTATATTGTTCTCTCTTGTTGGTTGAGTTTCCTATGTATGTTAACAGAAGATTAATCATCACAATTCATAATTTGCTATTACTTGTGCTTTCTCTTACTTACTTTCCAACTGTTAAAAAAGCTCCTGATATCTTTTATCTTTTTTTGTGGAGGTGGCATTTTTTCTAAATTATATAAGAAGGTATAGACAATCAAAAACAGACATTCATATACATGAACTGCAGAATCATTTATATAACTTGGCCAATGTCAAAAGTTACATAGTATTTCTCAATACAATGAGTTAACAAGAGTTTGGCAATAAGTAACAGTGTGGATTTTTCTATATTTTCTTTTTTTTATTCCACTCTCAACCCAAAAAGGCAAGTAATGACTCACAGGGCTCTCAAGTATGCAAAATAAAAACTTAAATGACCTGTTGTGGTGTGTTTTGCGCACAACCAGCATGCATCGTTAACGCAATGGAAAATTTAGGTATCCGAGCTTTAATTTTGGGAGCGCTGGTTGCGCTTTGGAAGAGTCAGGGGAAGAGTCAGGGGGAGAACCGGGAGATACGAGGGAGACAAAGTTCTGTCTGCTATGGTCGGCTCGGTACCATGTTAGAGCTGCTGCTTTCACCGCCGCGGCTGTCAGGACGTGCACATTCGAGTGCATCGCTTGAATGTGCTTAGAGCAAATAACAGCAAGTGCCCGCTGTCGCACATTTCACAGAAATTACATTATCAGCAGATAAAGGTTGTAAATCGTGGATCCGTGGAATATTTTCATCCCTAGTTTATCCTGATTCACACAACACACCCACTTATACATTTTGGATAGTAAGAGCACAATAAGTATTTTTTCAGCCTTTCAACCAACCTGTTTCTTTATTGGAGCCAGTTCTGTTCTGTCTCTATGCCGTGTGAGCTCCTCGGAACATTAAACAGTGCGCTGACAGATTAGAAATAACGTAAGTACTTTGAATGGTAATAGATCTACAGTACTTTCCTCTGATTACTCACGTGCTACAACGCTCAGGGAACGAAAAAAAAACACTTGCTTCACGCTGGCTAACTTTTAAAAATTAAACAGTCGCTCAGTGCTTCAGTTTGGCGCTGAAGAAGACAGCCAATCACTGCAGAGAACGGAACGGGTCACGTGCTGCTGCTGCTGCTGTTGCTCTGGAGGCGAGGAGGAGGCGCGACGTATGCACAAACGGAAGACATGTGTCCTGGACCGTCCGGGTCACGGGACATCATGTCATTTTGGTGGGGACTTTTTAGTCCTCACCAAATATTGGTGGGGACATGTCCCATGGTCCCCACGCAAACCTACGCCCTTGGGTCCAACTTGCTTCCTATGTCTGACTTCAGCTCTCTTACCATCAGCTTCTCCAGGCACTTCATAACATTGGAGGTCAAGGCTATGGGCCTAAATCAGCCCCTAAGGCTTGGTTTTGCTTCAAACGTGGGGAAAATAACCACGTTGCTAGAGAATGCAGTAATCCCCCAAATAAGGAACTCGTTGACAAAAAATACAAAGAGTTGAAGGCAAAACAAACAGAATGGCAAGCAAGGTATGGGAAATCTTTAAACTGGACAGGGTTTCAGTAGAGGGACAGACTGAGACCTCAGCAGAGAAAAGTCCCAAACCAGAGCAAAGAAACGAGGAGAGCAAGAAAGCACAACAGATAAACAGTATGACACATTCCCACTAAGCACTTTCAGATGAGGCTCTCTTAAGTGCGCTTGTTGGTTCTAAACGTACAGCCACATTCAGAGCGTATGTCTCCTTAACTCTGGCTCCCAAGTGACTACAGTGTCAGAGACATTTCATAAGCTACACCTCCCATCACGTCCCATACAATCAGTGGCCAGCTTGCTTGACATTGAGGGAGCAGGGGGGCAACCAGTACCCTATTTAGGCTATGTTGAAGTCAACCTCTCTTTCGCCAAAGAACTTACTGGGAGACCCGAGGAAATGAATACTCTAGCACTTATAGTGCCTGATTGCTGATCAAACCAAGAAATCCCAGTGCTAATTGGAACTAATGTCCTGGATGTGCTTTATGAAACTTACACTTCCTATAAAGAACAGAACTACAGTAAGAAACAAACAAACATCCCAGTGATCCAGACTATATACCACAAACAGAAAGTTAACAGTGAAAGTGGGAGAGCAGGGAAAGTGAAGCTTTTGAGTAAAAAGTGTATCACCATACCAGCTGGTGAAAGAGCTGTCCTAATAGGCTATGCCCGAAATATTGGCATAACCCCAGGTGCGCCACTGTTAGTTGAGTCCCTAGATTCTAACTTACCTGGTGGCTTAGTTTTTTGTAGCTACATAATGACCGTGCCATTTAAGGCATGCTTTAAAGTCACAATCCTGGTTAAGAATGAAAGTGCTCATGCTGTCAGAGTACCAGCAAGTAAGACTGTTGCAGAGTTATACGTCCCTCTCTCTGTCACTCATCTGGCATCTGCCCGAAACATCAATTAAAAAACCTGCCCTCCGCCGCCTAAATCCAGTGCCATGTGCAAAAACATCAGTTCCATTCCAGTCAGCCCACTGAAGTTTGATCTATCTGATACCCCACTTTCTAAAGAGTGGCAACAGAGAATCGCAGATAAGCTGAACTCCATGTCCGATGTTTTTGCAGCGCATGATTAAGATTACGGGCACACAACAGCTGTGAAACACTGTATACGACTCTATACGACTCTCAGACCCAACCCCATTCAAACAGCGGCCTAGGCCCATACATCCTTCAGATTATGATGCAGTCAGACAACATTTAAAGGAGCTATGTGATGCCAACGTAATCCGCTAGTCAATATACTGTAACATTACAGTCGATATTACAGGAGATTCCTGCACCCTTTACAAAGACAATTATAACAACACAAAACCAAAGGGTGGACACTTTTTTTTCTTCTTACACACAAATACAATGTTTTGTATTTTATTTTTACTCTCATTGTGTTAAACAAATACATTATTTTTTGTTTGGCAAGAACTCTAAGCTGTGCTCACTATTCTCCTTATCAAATCCAGATCCGTTTAACAGTTGTGCATATTACAATTGGTTATAAACAAAGTACTACATATATAATTACCAACCATCTTTACCAACTGGATTTACAATTACATCACTGTGAGGTCACAGTATGTCAGGTTAGGGAAGAGCGTGTCTGAGACTGTTGTAAGCAACACAGGAGCACCACAGGGTACCGTTCTGGCTCCCTTCCTCTTCACAATCTACACTGCAGACTTTGCACACAACTCTGCTACAAACCATGTACAAAAATACTCAGACAATACCGCTGTTGTGGCATGTGTGAAGGGGGGGTGAAGCAGAGTACAAGGAGGTGGTGGCTGCCTTCTAAGACTGGAGTGAGAGAAATGGACTGATTCTCAATGCGTCCAAGACCAAGGAGATGATCATCAACTTTCACAAGAGCCCTTCCCATCCGGTCACAGTAAATGGACAAGACATCAAAGTGGTTCACTCCTATAAATATCTGGGAGTCCACCTGGACCACAGACTGGACTGGTCAGCTCAGGCCAATGCCATCTACAAGAAAGGTCAGGGCAGACTTTTCTTCCGGAGAAGACTGAGGTCCTTTGATGTGAGCTGTCAAATGTTGCGAATTTTTTACCAGTCTGTTGAAGCTAGTGCCGTGTTCTTCAGGGTTGCGTGTTGGGGCGGCAGTCTGACCTCCAGACACAGTATCCGGCTCGACATGCTGATCAGGAAATGTGTGTCTGTGATGGGGAGAAGTGTGGACTCTGTGGGAGCTGAGCTGGAGAGAAGGATGAGGGCTCCAATGCAGGGCATCCTGGGTAATTAATAGTTACCTATTAACTATGCACCTGTTCTACGAACAGGTGCGTAGTCCCTTAGGACTTCGCTAGTGGGATATCACGTGACCCCCAGGTCACACGCCAGAGAGATCAAATATATAAAAATTTGCTCCAATCACCAGCGACCCTCCTCTATAAAAGCCCCTGCACAAGGCCGCGCCCCCTCTTGAACTCTGCCAAGCCGGGCTGGCCTGATGGGCTCGTAGCTAAGGGACTACGCACCTATTCGTATAACTTAAGTTACATTAGGTAACTATTAATTCTACGTAATGGTGCGAGAGGCATCTGGCTGCAGAATCCCCTCCCCTTGCAGACCTCCATGTTCAGCCCCTGTCACGTGACCTCCACCAGGAGCCCCTGTCACGTGACCTCCACCAGGAGCCCCTGTCACGTGACCTTCGCTGTTTCACTTCACTGCGACTTAAAACGTTTTTCTTCATAAAGTTATAAAGCTTATATTTAACATATAGTATATATTATGTAACAAACAAAAATAGTGACGTTTGTTCCACAAATTGTGACCAGGTATTATGTATATGAGCGATCCCTGTTTTCATCTGGGCATTTGGGATGCCAAAGGACAATTCTGTGGCCATGTGTTTACAAGAGCGCCACCTACATGTCACCCATAGTATAGCACATGAAAACACGTCAAAAAGACAATATATACATGGTAGAGATACCATCGCGAGGTTTTATTATAGTAAAGGGCTGCAACTTCTAGATGCTTATTCCATTCATCTATATTATTCTCACAACAGCTTTAAAGTTACATAGGTATCCACTATTTTTTTCTATTTTAGAGGAATAAGAGTTAGCTTGACCTATAGGTCTACACACATTTTTGATTTTCCTACCGTTCTGTAACCTTTGATGCTATACTGAACATTCCCCTTTTGTGGTGAATAAATTATCAATGATAAGGCCGTTCAATTATTTATTATACATTCACAATACAACACATATCCCATCTTATCAACACACTCAACAGAAAAGCGTTCCATGTCCTCAATATGAGAGAACACAAACTTGAAGGGCTCCAAGATGTTCTCTTGCTCCTCACTGTCTGGGTCAAAACCAGTCTCCCTAAACTGGGAGAAGTCTGCTTCAGCCTTAGCAGCTTCATCTCCTTCCCAGTCCAGCACAGGAGGAAACTGTATTTTTCCAGTGAATAAAAACAGGTTGTCCTTTGCCCAGCTTGCTGCTAATTGACAATCTATTAGGACTTTCCGGTCTCGAAGTTCCTAGAATGAAGACAAACATCAATGTGAATTTAAATGTATTAACAGTTAATGGATCGCCTTGGGAGGGCTCGTGCTCCTCCGGTTTATCCGTGCACAAATAAACTGATAATGGTCTCATAGCTACTCATTAGCTCTTTTGACCACCCTCCTGTTCTCCCAGTGCAGAGAACAGATTTTCCACTTTAATTATTATTATTTTCTTTCATTTGTGGATTCAATTTATAGATAACACTATTTATCAGTTTGCAATGACACAGCTGGTGCGAGGGTCCACATGCACCATTTTAATTCAGTGTATGTGTGGGTATGGTTGCTCACACATGAGCCATGAGGATATTAAAATTCTTGTTCTCAGTCTCCCTGCATTCACTATAAATCATTGTATTTTACATTCCTGTGGTAGGTAGTTGCAACCAAAAAAATCCAATAGTGAAAGACTGTTGGATAAGAACCCGAGTTTTATGACTCACTTGTGTAGCAGGCAACAGGTCTGTCTGTTGCACAGGTGCCAACTTGCGCTTTTTCACCCTCAGAACTGGCTGTACTTCCCCTCGAAGCCAATGGGCAAATAATTTGCCATAGCTTGAGTAAGAGGGTATTAATGGAACATTGAGAATATTGACAATAGAAACATTCTCTTCGAGTAATACTTTGAGAACAAATGAATCTCACCTCCCAAGGTCAAAGGTCTCCATCAGTAACAAACACCACCATTTCCTCAGAGTTGGCATGTCTTCCTTAAAAGTCCAAGAAGAGTCAATTATTAGTTAGCAATGTAACTGTAGTTTTACAGACAGAACAGGAAACTTGTCTGACATTTCCTAGGCAGATGTAGTTTCAACAGCTGGTCATGCACAGAGCCCATTTTGTAGGATCATGAGGGGGTCCCTACACTATGAGGTAGAGCCAAGCTCATCCTCAAGAAAAAGGATATACTTACAACTGTGAAGTCAAACTGCGCTTCCAGTACAGTGTACAGTGAATACTATGAAAAAGTGTAAAGTTTGGTTAATACTAATCAATGTAAGAAAATATGTGAAATGGAAGCCATACCATCAACATAAAGATGCCGCAATCATTGCCATATAGCTGCTTTGGAAGATCCTTTAAAAAAAAAAATGAACAAAAAAAGAAAAACAATTGGAGAGATTAGTGTGAATTATTTGGCATTTCTCATTTCCAATTGTCTTACCTGCATTTCCAAACCTGTCCTCTCTGTCCATGGTTCCCCAGGGATTATGGATTTGCACACATTTCTACAATAACATTGTGGATAGATGCTTCAGTGAAAAGCAATACATTAATCATTAAGCTGCATGCATAGCATTAAAAAGTTCAAATTTTGAACTTGAACAGAACTCTACAGGGCATTTAAAGATGCATCTTCTATTCAAATTACTTGGCTGTATGTGCCAAAAGGTTTTACACTATCTTGTGGACAATGTGAACATTAAATAAGCAGTCGCACAGGTGAGACAGCAGGATAAGTCTTTACCTGCATGTCCTCTATTGTAACTTCTCTCCTCTCTCGCTCCTGCCTTTGCCCTCCATCTTTTACATTCAATAGTTTCTTTAGAAAAACAAGTCATGAATATCTTTTTTACATCTTTAAAAGCCCTTAAAGTACAGATCCGAACGTGATCTGAAGAACTCAATAACCTCTGCGGAACGGCAAAGGAACAGGAACCACGTAATCATACTAAAAGGTGACCTCAGGATTCCCCTTATTTTCGAATCACCAAATCCAAACTGTGCCACTGCATATTGGGAATCCAGAAATAGCACTTCTCTCTGGCTTGGCCTCAAAACCTGTATTTGCATTTCATTAACGTTTACATTGTTATACTACTTAATTTGTCTCCCTCCGAAAAGTTATACAGAATACTTACAGACAACATGTAATGCCCTGGTTTCCAAATAGGGACCACTATGGCCTCTTTGAGGTGAGGATCCGTCTAATATTTAGTAAAAATTAAATGACTATGCAGTAGATCTCCTGAGTCAACAAACCATTTGCAACTTACAGGAAAGGAGGCCAGAGGGTCACAGGAATATGGTTCCCGCCAAGTTGGAACAACATATAGGTCCACAACGAAAATGTTCTTTCCCTATCAATCATAATTAAAACAAATCGTTGTAGCCTCCAACCACATTTTGTATTTTACCTTGACTTGCGCGACTTTTTCTATGATCTCAAAGCAGGCATTTCCAATCTGAAAAAAATAAAATAAACAATTTAGAATATGGCAATATTGTAGCCAAATTAGCAGAGCAATAAAAAAACGATACTCACAGTAGACTCCATATCTCGTTTTAAACCAAGAGTTTGAAAGTCAGACCGTGTTAGAGCCATCTTAGTACTTTGGACGATAAGCTCCTTTCCTGACCTCTCCTCATCCAGCACATAGTTGAGCTGAGTTAAATGGGTATTAGATGTATTTATTTAGAATGTAAAATTATTTAAAACCTTATGAACTCACAAGATGCACTTGCGCAGGATGTCTTGCTTGTGTCCAACATGCTTTACGTGGCTCTACCATACTGTAATTACACTCATTTTCACAATGAGGCCCACAAGCATCTAGAAATATCAGTTAAGATGTAACAATGTTAAAGCTAAGTCATATCAGAATTTTAACAATAAGATGACCATCAAAACTTGGCACCTTCGTCAGTGGCTACATGTTCATGTTGTGAGGGCCGCGATGCTTGCATTGCTGGAAAACCAAGATGTAATGAGTGGTCATGTAGGTTCTTTCGTGGCATTAAATATGGGAATTGAAGTTTTATTCACCAAATATGGCTTGTCCAAGATTATTCTTCTCAATGTCGTGAATTGTTTGTCCTCTTTGCAATTGTCTCTTTATGTATTTGTCGTTTTTTGTGTTATTTTGGTGATGTATTATGTTTCGCATGAGAAAAATGTGGGTTGAGGGGGCCATGTTGTTAAGGAAGTAATTGTTCTTCCTTAAAGTGGCAAACAGCTGCTCTGCGACTTGACTGTTTAGTGATGTGTGCAGTTCAGGGACAATTCCAATTCGCCTGAGAACTTCTTGAGGACTTTTTGTGTTAGTCTCATGAAATTTGTCATAAAGTATATAGTGGTCTGAGGAACCAGTTATCGGATGTCCATTGGGGTCAGGAAGGGCAAGCTTTTGATGAAGCCACGGCAGAGACACCTTTAGTTTTTTTTGTTGAGCTGCTGCAATGTTCTCTGGGGTAGACGACGCTAGTCTTCCTTCATGAGGCTTAAAAGGAAGATCTATTGGTGACCGTAAATTTCCGTGTGTTGCCAACCCCCGGGCAAAATCATACACACAAACATTTGGAATGTGCTCCCAGGAAAAAAGAAGATCAGCAAAGTCCCGTGGGGACTCTGCCCTAATATTGAATTTAATGCTGTAAACAATGCCGTGAGGACAGAGTATCACAGACCAGCCACCTTAAAATAAAAATTAAAAGTTACCAAAAATGCATAATACAAATTTTTGAGGATGAAGAACATGAGCTGTACCAGATGCTCCCCAGATCTTTTGGAACACTTTGTCATAAGTGTGTCTGGACTTCATTTCCTCCCGGAGTCGTAGTATGAGGTCCATACGCGACCCATTCGAGTCCAGGTTGCAGGCTTTGCATAGTTTACGCACTGTTGAAACCTTAAAGACACCAAATATATTCCATATGTAAATCATAAACTAATACAAAATACTACATTCACACTATGGCTGTCAAAGTTAACATTCATGCGATTGATCAAAAAAATGAATGCATATAGCGTGGTTTAATCATAGATTAATCTCAGCCTGATGTCTCCCAATGCTTATGTTTAGGAGGCTTCCCGAACCTAGAGCAGGGACACTCTGCTGTGACCACGGTGTGCCACATTCACAAATTTCTTGTAATACAGCTCCATATCTATATTAAACTTTGAAAATTTAATTTTAACTCATAATTGTAATCTTTTATTGAAATGCCTTCCATCACACTTTGTACAGCGGTTAAATACTGACATTAATATGCACTATGAGATTAGTCAAATTTCAAAAGTATTCACACGCACCTTTTGTTTCATCAGCTCATCAACCAGCCGATCCTCTGTAACAAGAACCTCTGCTGAAGTGACAGTCCGATTTGAGGCAATTTTTTCAAACTCTGTGTTCAAGGCCATGTTTGATTTTCTTGTCCTCCTTCCAATCCATGGAGCCCAGTATTCATAACTGGGATGAACAGTAAATGGGTTCTCAGAACAAGCTTAACAAAAAAATAAAACCAAAAGGTAAATAACAAAAATAAACAATCCGTCAATCATTGGGCCTCATTCACGAACGGTTCTTAGGAACAGATTTGTACGTAAATCCTACTTACGAGGTTTTTACGAAGAAAGTGGCATTCACGAATTTTTCTCGTAACCAGAATTTCTCTTGGGCAAGTACAAATCCTACGAGTCCTCAGGAGCACTCGTACGCATTCAGTGCCGACATGTTCACACGCCGGGGTTGTCCTCTTTGGTGAAGTTTAATAAAAATACAACATTCCAGTGATATGTCCGTCATATCGATGTATGTATTTATTTATTTGTAGTAATCTTTATTAGTAATCTTTATTGATATACCGCCTTTTTCACTGCAGATCTGGCCTACTTTTTAATTGATTTTCAAATTAAATGTGCCAACGCTTTATCAAATACATTGGAAATCTTGCCGTGTATTAGTGACCCCTTCCTATTTATAGGGGGCATTTCTTTATCCACGGGCCACAGAACAACGGCATATATACTGCTGCTGCAGGAGGTTACTGGGTCCGCGCTGAGTCTCTGCGCTGGTCTCTCCTATGGATCTATACGGGTCTGCACTGGTCTCTCCCATGGATCTATACGGGTCTGCACTGGTCTAGTCAGAATTGTAAGTGACTATCAATCTGCCAAACTTGCTGTATGAATGTGGAGTTGGCTCATGGATGGAAAAACACACATTGGAATTATCATGTGTAGGGACTGGGACACAAAGGGGGACATGTGATTTGTGGGCATTTTGTTGACGTTTCAGGCAAATATTTTTCTTGGACTCCGAAAAAAAAAGCAAACCAACCATTTGAATTAAAATGCCCTCTTCGAGACACTCCTCCACAGCTGTTGCCGAGCAATAATCAATAGAGCGAATGTGCTCACACTGGAGGTTTGGTACCCCACTCCTGATGGCCATTTGGTGAAATTGCGTGCAATCCTCCAACTCGCACTCAACTCTGTGTTCCCTACCCCAAGTTTTCCTTACAGCATGAACAGGCACAGAAAACCCATGTCTGTCTTTTTGCATCGCAAAAATTCCGTTGCATTCATCGACGCATACACCGTTTAGGTGATTTAGAGCAGTAATGTCCATTTCTTTGGGTAGATGTTTGCGCTTGATATGAACAGAAAGGTTTTTTGCCAAACACACAAGCGCACAATGAGGGCATTTCACTTTCTTGGCATTCGGAGTAGAGACCGAGGACTGCAGAGAAGGAACTGCAGACACCGAGGACTGTAGAGGAGGAGCTGCAGACACCGAGGACTGCACAGGAGGAGCTGCAGACACCGAGGACTGTAGAGGAGGAGCTGCAGACACTGAGGACTGCACAGGAGGAACTGCAGACACCAAGGACTGCACGGGAGGAGCTGCAGACACCGAGGACTGCACAGGAGGAGCTGCAGACACCGAGAACTGCACGGGAGGAGCTGCAGACACCGAGGACTGCACAGGAGGAGCTGCAGACACTGAGGACTGCACAGGAGGAGCTGCAGACACCAAGGACTGCACAGGAGGAGCTGCAGACACCGAGAACTGCTGAGGAGGAGCTGCAGACACCGAGGACTGTAGAGGAGGAGCTGCAGGGCTATTACATATACATAAATGCCTTTCCATATCAGATTTTCGAATGCAGGAAGGGCAGTGGTAGTGTACAGAGTCTCGACAGAGCATGTGGCAACGGCATATTTTCCAATGTGGCAACGGCATATTTTCCAATCTAAAAAGGAAAATAAAAAGTAATGCATTATCTGTTACATACATATTTTAAGCGCAATTAGAATTACATACACACAATTATGCATTCAGGGCAAGTATCCGGCTTATCTTGCTGGAGACTTGTGCAAAGTAGTAGTGAAATTCAATCATAATTGGAAAACCTTTTCAATTAATATTTTATAATTGTTGGCACTTTACATTCACAACCAACTGAAGACACTTTCCAAAATGTTGTGGTTAGAATAACAAACGTATCTCCTCCAGATGTATCACTATTAAAAATACCACTAGTAATACTTCTATCACTAGTTTTCATGTACTTTAGATCTGGCGCATCTTTAGCTTTGTCAGACATAAAAAGTAAAAGTATTCATGACAAAGACAGTGACTTGATGGCTCTTTCAAATAGTCTGTAAAATACATAGAATGGATAGCTGCTATATTATGTTATTAACATACAGTACAATCAATTATTGATTATATTTATTATTGTAAAAATTTCAAACAAATCTTACCTTTGTAAACAATTGCCTGCCTTAAATGCGACTGCAAGTGTATCTGCATTTTATGTAACTTTTGGGGTTTCACCATTGGACATATGGGGCAGTGAAAGAGGGTGCAACAGGTTGTGCACCGCTCCACAAGAAACTCTCCTTTTACAATTGATTTGTGCATCTGCAAAGACACAATATGAACGTTAAGCATTAAAGCGTTGCAACGTCATCAATACGGAGTTCAAACTGCGTTAATTGTACATAGCGATAGTGCCTTTGTGCCTAATGGACGTTAAACCATAAGCATTAATGGTTTACAATCATGTTAGCAATGCATCAACGCAAGAGGGGAAACGTTAACGCTAATATTTGTGTGTTTTTTATTCGGAGAGAACGGTGGGCAATAATGAAGAGCACTCACTTAACTGTTAATACACTGTTGTAGCTTTGAGTTACTGTTAAACGTATAAAGCTAAGCGTTATGTTGTCGTAGAAAGACAAGTGTAGCCGACAATAACTAATCTGTATCTGCAGTAACTGAATCACAAAACACGTAACACAAGCATCTTACCGTGACCGCATCTTACCGTGACCGCAGATCGTCGCACGTGTAGTACTGTCCAGTAAAAGAAATGACGTGACTTCTTCTTATAAAATTTTCCGGCAGGCGGTACACTGGCGGAAGTGACGTAACAGGGGCTCCTGATGGAGGTCACGTGACAGGGGCTGAACAGGGAGGTCTGCGAGGGGGGGGGAGTCTGCAGCCAGACTCTCTTGTCTGGAAGCGATAAACAAAAGCGCAAAAAAGAGGAAGACGAGAAAAGAAAGCATGATAGTGGTGAGTGACTGTCAGTTAGTTCATCTAGTCTACATGACGCTCTTGGAACTAACTTGTTTGTTTGCGGATCACAACACAGCAACATTTAGCATGCTATTGTTAGCGTTTTGAAGGATTAATACACTTTGATAGCAGGTAGTGTTTGTAATTAATTATAACATGATGAGTGTAGTGAACAAGTTTATAAAAAGACATGCTAATTTATTTCTCATTGCTTTTCGTCACCAAATACTTTTTAAAATACTAATTTTCTATGGTAGACTGTTCAGTATGCCAGGCAGGCCCCAGGCTTGTACATTTATTGTTAGAAATAAGAAATTGTCTACATTTTAATGTTAATGTAAACTAATAATAGATGTTGCATTTTTACTTACTAAATTATATATTTTTCCCCTTTTTCTCAGGATTGCTAAGAAAATTTTTGGTTCCCTCATCTTCTTCAAATCAGGAACATGCTGCTAGTTGTAAGTACTTTATCTATATGTATTCTTACTTCTAAAGATATTTTATCAAAATACATTACGACGTTAATGCCATGTTTGATTTCTCTTTATCTTTAAGCTCAGTCTGCCGCTACACACACTACTACAGCCCCAAGTACTGCCACGCCAAGGTTTACTGCCCCGCCAAGGTTTACTGCCACGCCAAGGTTTACTGCCCCCTCAAGCTCTACAGCCCTGGACAGAGCAGCAGTCAGCTATATCCCATACTGCAATTGTCAACATTTCGTTGCCTACCTCCATTGACCAAGAGGACCAAACAGACCCTCAAGCACCCACTCCAGGTATGATATTAGTGCAATAATATATTTAGTTTAAAAAAATGCTTGAATTTTACACACTATGGCCTTTTGTAGTATCTACCATAACTATAATTTCAAACAAATATAAGAGGTATACTTGAAAATAAATCAATATCCAAGTTGGTTTGTATTTTGAAGATGTGTAAATTAAAAATACATAAATAGTAATGTAAATATGGACATACTTAGCAAGCCATCTTTAGCAAGAATTGTAATTGTAAAGGCTGTAAAAAGAGACTAAACATAGTGTTTGTTCAAGTAATTATATCACATCAGGATTATTTATGGTTATTGTGTTTTTCTTTTGAGAATTCATGTGTTTTTTTAATTGGTTTCAGCTCAAACGGCATCCACAGACCAAGAAAAAGCAACACCAATAAGATTGACATCTTCTGATCCTGGACAGTGGCCTGATGTTCTTAATGATGGTGAAAAAAGGTCCTCTTCAGGTGACAGATATTGTTTTTCCTCAAAGCAATGAACAAAATCCTTGGAGATTCACAAAGGAAAATGATTACATGGTCATGAGAAATGGTGAAAAAATAAAGCGAACATGGCTAGTATATTCAAAATCGACCGATTCAGTGTTTTGCTTTGCTTGCAAAATATTTGGCAAAAAGGACAATAATGCTCTAACTAAAGGAGGGTTTAAAAACTGGAAAAACCTTGTTGCACATTTAAAAGAGCATGAATATTCCAAACCCCATAACATGAAAAGTTGGCATGAGCTCCAGATAAGGTTAAAAACAAAATCTGCTCTAGATCGAACAAACCAGGATCTATTGCACCTTGAGCAGCAGCTCTGGAAAACAGTAATCCACAGGATTATTGCTTTAATATGCAAATTCTACAAAGAAGTATTGTCACAGAGTTGAGAACCTATAAGCTTTATTGTTTAGTTGTTAATTATGTTTTCATAATATTGTTGTTCTGCTGATCTTTTGTTGTTGTTAGTATTTTGTCAATTCTGTTTCAACTTTATGATGCAAAATAAATAATATATTTATATCTACTGCAGTATTAACCTTTTTATGTGGTTATATGGTCGGTATCGGGCCCCCCAAGGACTCTTTTGCCTGGGGCCCCGGGGTACCCTTGGAACGCCACTGAAAGTAAGTTACGCCCAGCACTACCTGTACACAAGTTCACTTTTGTAATTTATAAAACTTTCTCTAAAATCAGAACTTATAGACTGATATTGTTGTCAAGTTTCTTCACATCATTTCTCTTCTTCTTTTTGGGCATTTGTCAGAGGAGAAGTTTTCTTTCTGCTGTCTTTCTTTTCTATAATCAGTCAATAACACTTTTATTTCTTTTGAGTTTGATAACCTTCCGGCTGCTGACCTTAATGCCTCTTCACATGTTCTCTTGAATCGGATCTACAGTGCGTTCATTATTCTTTTTATATGACACATAGTATGACATATAAGACGTAATATGAGTTCATATCCATTATATCAAGGATATAGGCTTTGCCACATGCTCAAAGCATGAACGTCCCAAACACTAGCAGTACAGTAAAACAAATGTTTACTTTCCATATTTTTACTTTCCACTAAGTAAACACTATAGTCAGTAGTTACAGTAGTGACAGTAAAATGACGGCCATAAAGTGTTCATGAGTTCCTAACCCTAACTACAGAGGTTTACTTTTGAATGTGTAGGAAACGGCAGCAAGTCCTAAAGAAGCTTTGGAACAGTTTTTATTTTTGTGCTTTACAATTGTTTTATGTTTTTTTCTTTCTTTTTGCAAGTGCAGTGTTTCAACCTGGAGAGACTACAAGAGACGAGATGCGTTTAAGAGTTGTTTATTTTATGGATTGAGTTTGTTTATTGGTTTGGAGCTTAGGCCCCGGCTGTGGCCGTGCTTTGAAGAGATCTGCGCCTGGGTGCAGATCATGATCCCCAAAAAGAGAGCTTGGCTAGCGATGCGTTTGCCACGACTTGGTTGCTGCGTTTATGGAAGGCGCATGGTGTGAGTGACTGTTTCCGTGCGCGAGCTCGGCTCTAGCGCTAGGCGTTGGCACGCGCACGAGCTCGGCTGAAGTGCGCGGCGTAATGTCCGTGCGCGAGCTCGGCTCTAGCGCTAGGCGTTGGCACGCGCACGAGCTCGGCTCGAGTGCGCGGCGTAATGTCCGTGCGCGAGCTCGGCTCGAGCGCTAGGCGTTGGCACGCGCACGAGCTCGGCTCAAGTGCGCGGCGTAATGTCCGTGCGCGAGCTCGGCTCTAGCGCTAGGCGTTGGCACGCGCACGAGCTCGGCTCGAGTGCGCGGCGTAATGTCCGTGCGCGAGCTCGGCTCTAGCGCTAGGCGTTGGCACGCGCACGAGCTCGGCTCGAGTGCGCGGCATGTTGGAATGAGGAGTTGCCACCACCAGGAGATGCATACGTACTTATATGAGAGGAGGCGCTGGGCTGCCAGAACGGATGAATGTGGTAGAGAAACGGGACAGCGCTCCTGGAGAGATGATTGAGGGAGTCCCAGGGCAGCAGCCCAAGTGGCTGCTCCTATCCGGAAGGAGTGGCGGATGTAGAGAAAGGAAGAGAGGTTACATGCAGGGAGCGCAGGTTTTGAATTTGTTCAGACCAGGGGGTCGTCAAAGGATTGTTTAAGGAGTAATTATAGTCTATGAATGTTGATAAAATGTCCATACATGTTGTAGAATGTAAAGTATCCTGGATCATCACCACGGGCCTTCTAGTTGGACACTAACTGTCCAGACCCTCCTGCATGGCAAGGAAAACTCACAAAACCCCGTGGGGAAAAAAGTGAGAAACCTTCGGAAGACCCTACATGAGAGAGGGTTCCACTCCACGGACAAA